AATCTTCCAATTCTCAATAAAGATAATTATGAGAATTGGTGCAAGCACATTAAGGTGGTTTTCTGTTACCAAAATATTTGGGATCTTGTGAAGGAGAGATTATCACCACTTACAGAAACTGCGACAGATCAAAAGAAAACAACATATAAAGAATTAAAGAAGAAAGATTATAAAACTCTCTTTATAATCCATCAATGTGTTGATCCAAATAGCTTTGAAAAGGTTAGTGATGTAGAGTCAGCAAAGGAAACGTGGGAGATTCTTGAAAAATCGTTTGGAGGCGCAAAGAAGGTGAAAGAGGTGAGGCTACAAACTCACAAAAGGACTTATAAATTGCTTCAGATGGAAGATAATAAAAGTATAACATGTTTCTTCACCAGAGTTACAAAGATGGTAAATCAAATCAAGGTATGTGGAGAAGTGTTGACATCAAGATCAGTTGCAACAAAGATCTTGAGGTCATTGGCTCCAAAATTTAACCGCAAGGTAGTAGCCATAGAAGAGTCGAAAGGCTTGTTAGTATTGACGAAGGAAGAGCTTCAAGGGACGCTTGAGTCTCGTGAGCAAAGGATGGTTGGAAGAGCTACAGGAAAGTCGAAGAGTGATATATCTTTGCAAGTGTAATCAGAAAAAGAAAAGAAGGGCAACATAAGTTGGAATGACAACAAAGGTAGAGGAGGCTACACCAATTCGACTGGTCGAGATCATCATGAAGGAAATTGGTCGAATCAGAGAAAACCCTGGAACTAAAGCAACCAAAGAGGTGGTGCTACAGGTAGAGGAAGAGGTGGTGGTCGAAAGCTTGACAAAAGTCACATTCAGTGTTTCAATTGTCAAGCGTATGGTTATTATTTCAGTGATTGTCTAAAAAATAATAATAACCAAGAAACTAATGTAAAGCTGGCGAAACATGAAGAAGAAGAGATGTTGTTGATGGTCACAACAAGAGACGAAGAGAGATTCCAAGACCAATGATACTTGGACTCAAGATGCTCATCACACATGACTGAAAGGAAAGATTGGTTTGTCAACATGAAACTCTCGTCGAAGAACACAATGAAGTTAGCAAATGAAAACACTCTAGTAGCTGAAGGTGTTGACGATGTTCAGATCGTGAGGAAGGATGGCAAGAAATTAATAATTTACAATGTGTTATACATACCAGGCCTAAAAAGTAACCTACTAAGTATATGACAGCTTGTCGAAAAGAACTACAAGGTAGTTGTCAAAGACAAGATGATGAGAGTTCTCAACGCAGGTGGTAGGTTGATCTTGAAGGCTCCAATGTCTCTGAATAGGATCTTCAAGATTAAACTCAATGTGATGGAGCACAAGTGCCTAGCAATTGCAGCCAGCAGAGATGAATGGTTATGGCATTTTTGACTAGGCCATCTCAACTTCAATGACACCAGAGAGCTAAAGAGAATAAATATGGCTTCAGGATTACCTGAAATCGACATTCTAAGTGAAGTTGATGAAGAGTTTGTTTAGTCAAAACAACACAAGAATAACTTCAGCAAAGATGCAAGAAGGAAGTCGAAGGCAATTCTCGAAGTCACATACTATGATGTATATGGTCCAATCCATGTGGATTCAATTGTAGGCAACATATACTTTGTCATGTTCATAGATGATTACAGTTGAAAGCTGTAGACTTATCTCTTCAAGAAGAAAATTGATGTGATCGAGGTATTTTCCAAATTCAAATCTATGGTCAAAAGACAGAGTGGTCGAAAGCTGAAAATTATGAGGATTGATGGTGGTGGAGAGTATGTTCGAAAGAGTTGTATGCATTATGTGAAAAAGAAGGGATAGTGCATGAGGTGGTGCCACCCTACACTCTACATCAAAATGGAATTGTAGAAAGAAAGAACAGAAATATCATGAACATGGTGAGAAGTATGTTGAGTGGAAAGCATCTACCCAAAGAATTATAGGGAGAAGCGGTTTCGACAGCAACATACATATTAAGCAGATGTCTGACGAAGAAGCTTGAAGGTATCACACTAGAAGAATGTTGGTCTAGTGTCAAGCCTATCCTCAGTCACTTGGAGGTGTTTGGATCTATAACACATAGACATGTGCAAGATCAGTTGAAAAAGAAGCTTGATGACAAGTGGAATCAGATGATCTTAATAGAATATCATTCGGTTGGAGGTTATAAGTTGTTCGACCTAGTAAATAAGCAGGTAGTGATCAACAAGGACGTGATCATAAATGAGCTTACAGAACGAGATTGGACTGAGAATGTCAAGAAGGATTCAGTGAGAATATCTTGTGAAGAACCAATCACTGAAGTTGAAAGAGAAGTTCGATAAGAACAAGTTAGAGATGAAGCAGACCCAAGTAGATCTCAACGAACAAGACACATGCTTGCAAGGTTGCAAGAATGTGTGATTACATCAGGTTATATGGTCAATGAAAAAGGTGAGCTGGTACACTATGTTTTCTATGCAGATGTCAAACCAGTCAATGCAGTCGAGGCATTGAAGGATTCGAAGTGGGTGAAAGTTATGAATGAGGAGTTAAGTCCATCGAAGTCAACAACACCCAGTCACTTGTTGAATTGCCTTAAAGCAAGAGGGCAATTGATGTGAAATGGGTTTACAAGGTGAAAGTGAATCATAAAGGATAGGTAACTCGAGACAATGTGAGACTTGTGGCAAAAGGATTTCTTCAAAAGGAAGGAATTGACTTCGACGAAGTTTTTGCACCTGTTGTTAGGATCGTAACAATTAGTTGGTTGTTGGTCAAAGAAAGGTGTACAGGCTGCATGAAGCTCTGTATGGACTTAAGCAAGCTCCAAGAGTTTGGAATAAGAAGATCAACAACTTTCTAAGGGAGAAGAAATTTGTGAAGTGCACGACTAATCATGAAGTATATGTAAGGAGAAGCAATAGTGAATTACTTATACTATGTCTTTATGTCGATGACCTGTTGGCAACAGAAAGTTGCAAAAATGAGATCGAGGATTTCAAACATGACCTAAGTGAGGAGTTTGAAATGTCAGACTTGGGAAATCTCTCATACTTCCTTGGCATTGAATTCTACAAGAGTACTAGAGATTTGATGATGCACCAAAGAAGATGTGCAGGCGAAATACTCGAGAGATTTTAGATGCAAAATTGCAACCTAACTTCGACTCCAGCTGAGACCAGATTGCAATTGTCGAAGGATTCAGATGAAGATGATGTCGACCTAACCCAATATAGAAGACTTATTGGATCATTTCAATACCTTTGTCACACAAGGCCTGACTTAGCATACAACATCGGTATGGTAAGTAGATTCATATAGAAGCCAAAGGTATCACACCTAGCAGCAACGAAGAGGATACTAAGGTATCTGAAAGGGACTTTCGACTACAACATTTTGTTTTCTGCATCTGATGAAGGAAAATAATGTAAGTTAGTGGGATGCATTGACTCTAGTTGGTGTAGTGATGCTGAGGATAAAAAATCCACAACTGACTATGTGTTTATGTTATGTGGTGCATCAGTTGCTTGAACTTCGAGAAAGGAGTCAGTAATGACATTGTCGTCATGCAAAGCAGAATACATATCTGGTTTTCTTTGTGCATGTCAAGCAACGTGAATGGTGAACTTGGTCAAAGAGATTACAGAGAAGAGTCATGGAGCAATTACCATGAAGATCGACAATATGTCAGCTATCAACCTGGCGAAAAATCCAATAGCCCACGATCAAAGCAAGCACTTCGAAATGAGGTTCCATTATCTTGGAGATCAGGTAGTAGAAAGGAAGATAAACTTGTAACACTGCAGAACTGAGAATCAGATTGCATACATCATGACAAAAGGAATGCCAGTCGAAGTGTTCAAGAAGTTAAGGTCTATGATGAATGTAGATAACTTATAAGCAATGAATTATGTGGTGTGTTAAATATGTAATTCTTTGTTTTAAAAAGATCAAATTTGATTTAGAAAGATCATATTTGATTTAGAAAGATTTGATTAGATATTTTTGACCTTTTATAAATAGGGAGGAATCCTTATCATTGTAATCATCAAGTTTGATAATCACTGTTTTGTAGTTGTAAAGTGATAATAAAATTCCACAGGTGTGGGCAGATGGTTACTCTGCAGCTCAACTCATCTTCTTTAAATGTGTTCTTATTTTTGTTCTTCGTCATTACATAACAATATTGAGATCAAGATTGAGAAGAATTCACCATAGATCGTGGTTGAATTCCAATAGGTGCATCAAACAATACTCCACTTTGTCATTTTTGAAAGTAAATTATATGAAGAATGGTGTTCTTTCTGACCACTAGAAGGTGCAGCAAACCAAGGTCCAAACAATACCAACACGTGTAATCGTCATCAATAAACCTAATGACTACGACCAACGATCTTATATATTTTTTTTAAAGTAATGTAATGATAGTTTATCTTCATTGTTCTTAATAAGTAGTCATATTATTTAATGTATAATTTTTAATCAATTTTTTAAGTAATAAGAATTAAAAAATTAATTTTATAATATATTTTATTTTCTTAATTATAAAAATAAAAATAAATAAATTTAACTTATTAAATAAATTTATTAATATTGCCGAGTAATTAATTTATATATTCTATTTAAAAATCAATTTTATATTTATTAATTATCTTATTAACAAATTAAGGTACAATTTAAGAATGTGGGCACCAGATGTATTGATAGTTCCATTTACCAACAATGCAAACCTCAATTCATTTGAAGGCATTGTAATTAAAATAAAATAAAAACGTACTAAATGACGCACGCACCCCTTTGACCAACGGCTAGTTCTCCAGATAAGTTAATCTAACGGCTCTATTTATCTTACCATTTCGAAATATAGCCGTTACGTAACACATTCTTTTCAGATTTCAAATCTTTAAGAATCTCTCAAATCAAAACATTGAGTTACTTTCTTTTATTTCTGCTACTTGTCTCTTCACTTCAACTGCAATTTCCATTTCAATTTGCATTTTCATTTACATTTCAATTTCGTGGCAATGCCTTCCAAACACAACAACAAATCATCGAACCCTAATCATCCAAGAAATTCAGAATCCAGTAATCACTTGAGAAGAAGTTTCACCGGAAATCCATTCTCCAAGCCTTCTTCCCTCATGGCAAACCCTAGATCCAGTTTCTCTCACACCCCTGCCAATAGTCCCATAGGTAAATAATTGATTTTGATTTTAATCACTTTTTCAAATTTCAAATCTCTGATTAATTTTTTTATTCATTTTGATTCTGATTTTGGTATTTTTGTATGCAGATTTTCAAAGAAAAAGCTTTGAATATGAAAAGGAAAATGTGAAAGATCAGATGTTGTTGAAACCTGGAAAGATTCGATCGCCGTCACCAGCTGCTACGTCGAAATCGTCGAAGAATTTCATGTCTCCAACAATCTCTGCTTCTATCAAGATCTCGGAGTCTCCGAGAAGGAAAATCCTCGCCGAGAGGAACGAGACTGCTCATTCATCTGACCACAAAATTCATGTTCGGAAGGTAACTTTTGCTGATCCTTTAGAACAGAAAAGGCTTGATGCTTCAATTGATGGAAATGAAAACCCCTTCCCAAGTTATGAGTCTTGTGATAGGAGTAGTGAGAATTTGTCTGATTCCGATGGTGTTTCTTTGATTCCGAGTGATGATTTGTTGTTTGAAAATATGCCTATGAATAGTCCTTTGGTTCCACAGAATGAGATTCACATTCACACTGATTCCTCGTTTGAAAAAGTTTCCGTAGAGGCTTTGAGTCCACAGAATGAGATTCATATTGAATCCTCATTTGAAAATGTTTCTAGAGAGCCTGATTTTGTAAACCTTGACCCTACTTTTAAGCTTAGCCCACCGGCCGCCACTCCGCCGGTTTCATACACACATACTGTAGTAGATCCTCTTGATGCAGATCCATCAATAGCACCTTATGATCCTAAAACGAACTACCTCTCCCCTAGGCCACAATTCCTTCATTACAGACCAAAACCACAAATCGAATTAGAAGACAGATTCATCATGTCTGCAAGCTTTTCAGACTCAGAAGTTACCGAGGATACTCAGTCTGAGGAATCACTGAAGGAATCTGAGGACGCTTCTTCAGATGAAACTGTGAAACAAGAAGAGGATCAAATTTCAGAAGCGAGTCCTGTTAGGACTCTCTTGCCAGAGGAAACTGTAGAAGTAAAGGGCTTGCCAAAGTCGCGTTTCTCCTTGAGATCAATGGCGGTTGCTCTAATTTTGCTACTGTCAATTTCTTTTGTATCAATCTCAGTCACAAATTCTCCAGGGATTGATCATGCTGTGTTTGGAGAATTTTATGACGCTTATAAATTGTCTGAAATTTCAGAGTTTGCAAGGGCTAACTTTGACCAATTCTCCCAGTTTTCAAAAGCAAATTATGACAGTTTAGCTCGAAATTTGCATATTTGGTTTACTAAGTCACTGTATTCGATAACTGAGTTGATTTCAGATGTTAGAGGAGCAGGCAATTTGGCCCAGTTGCCGTATTTTAACTTGACTTTGCTGAATGACTATAATGTAGTTAATCAGTATCCTATCTGTGGATTCCGTGAAAATGAAATAGGTATCACTAACCTTCATGCTCAAGAACAACCTGTTACCTCAGAGATTGTTGTGGATGAGAATTTTGGTGATATTTCAGCAGAGCATTATGAAGTATATGAAGAACAACTTCAACATGATATAGAAATGGCCACTGGATTTGAAAATACTTTGGATGCTCTCGAATCTGAGGAGGTGCACAAGGGCCAGCCAGCCGCTATTTTTGAATCAGTAGAGCAGACTTTGCAACTATCGGAAATTGAACATTTAGATGCAAAGTTGGCACAAGAAGTTGGCGTTGAAGGTATTCCTGATTCCGAGGAAGCACTGGGTGAAGCATTCATGGGCCAATCTGTCACTTTGGTGGAACCAGAGCTGGCTTTGCAGCTGGTAGAAGCAGCAAAGGAAGATAACCAAACACCAAGCGATGCAGAGTTGGTTCATGTAGTTGATATTGAAAATACTCCAGAATCCGAGGAAGCATTCAAATCTGTCCCCTTGGTAGAACTAGAGCAGGCTTTGCAAATGGAAGAAAATCTAACACTAAAAGATATTGATGGTGATAGTGAATATAAGCCAAATTCGAATTCCGAGGCTGCTGAAATCCATGAAGAAGTGTATGGAGAAGACAGTGTAGATACAAGGCTAGCACAAGAAAGTGATGCTAAATTAAATGGCAAAGAAAGTGTTGCAGATCTCAAGCATTCACCAGTTTCAGATTCAGAAGCTGCTGAAATTCGCACGGATGACAAAGAAGTGGGAGAATCAGCAAGCACAGATGCTGCAATTAGAAGAAATGAACAGCTACTAGAAGCTAGTCAAATTCCTCAAAACATGTTGCTATACCTGCTGCTATGTGCAGGTACAATTATTATTGCAGGTGCAACTTTTAACTGGTCAAGGAAAGTTAAAAGTGTAAGCAGAAAACCTAATATTGAATCCGAGATCGATCAGATTACCCCTGATAAACCATCTGGGAGGAGTGCACCAGTAGAAATCGACGATGTTGGAGAATCAACCCGTTCCGAAATGGTTGGAGAATCATGCCCTTCAGAGTTGAGCAGCTTTGAGAAGAGTTCATCCTACAGAGTTAGTCAATTAAATGAAGCTACCTCCAGCATTGATAAAAAGCGCAGGAATAATTACAGGAGAGAGTCTTTGGTTTCTTCTAACTCCATGGATTCATCATCCTATGGAAGCCTAACAGTGTTTGAGAAAATTCCAAAGGTGAGTATTGTTTGTCTGCTGCTGTCAATGTTGATTGAACCATTACATTACCATTGTTAATGTTATCATGTTTGATTTGTTTCTCATACCTTTCATCGCATTGATTTTACAGGGACGCGGTGATGATGAGATAGTAACTCCGGTTAGGCGTTCGAGTAGGATCAGGAGCCTTGCCACTTCTCCTGTATAAGCTTTTTTTATTGGCTCTCCTTATCTAACCTGCATAACTTTGCAGCTCTGCAATGTGAATGTATTCTATTTTCGATTAACAGAAGTGTTCTTGTCTTCTGAATCTTCTAGTTCAGCTTTAGAATTGTTTTTGAATGAATGTTTGTTGCTTATTAATTGTTGAATATCCACACTCTCCTAACAAAATTTATGGACTTTTATTTTTTATTTATTATTGTTGTTGTTACGATGGGTTTGGTTGATGTCAACTTTTATATAAAAACTAGTGGAAGATCCGTATGGGACGCGCATTAGTTGCGAAAGAAAAATAAGAAATTGAAAAAGAAATGAAAAGGAGCATATAAAAATAATATTTTTATGTAAGACAAATGAAGTGAGTTAGTAGAATGTAAAAAAAACAAAATGATGTTTAGTTGGAAGGATAAAGTAATAGTAAAAAATTAGAGAATACTAGTTGTTAAATAAGTTTTGAGAAAGATAAATGCAAAATGAAATATAGCATTACATAAAATATAGTATTACATAAAATACAAGTAATATAGGATTTATCAAGTTAAATTACAATAAAACAACTGTACTGAATTTGAAAACTAAAAGATCCAAAATATATTGGTCAATAGAAGGATGCATAACATAAAGTTGGAAGGATAAAGTAATAGTAAAAAATTAGAGAATACTAGTTGTTAAATAAGTTTTGAGAAAGATAAATGCAAAATGAAATATAGCATTACATAAAATACAATATAGGATTTATCAAGTAATATAGGATTTATCAAGTTAAATTACAATAAAACAACTGTACTGAATTTGAAAACTAAAAGATTCAAAATATATTGGTCAATAGAAGGATGCATAACATAAAGTACAAGTAATATAGGGTTACCAAGTTACATAAAATACAAGTAATATAGGATTTATCAAGTTAAATTACAATAAAACAACTGTACTGAATTTGAAAACTAAAAGATTCAAAATATATTGGTCAATAGAAGGATGCATAACATAAAGTACAAGTAATATAGGGTTACCAAGTTAAATTAATATAGGATTTATCAAGTTAAATTACAATAAAACAACTGTACTGAATTTGAAAACTAAAAGATTCAAAATATATTGGTCAATAGAAGGATGCATAACATAAAGTACAAGTAATATAGGGTTACCAAGTTAAATTACAATGAAACAACTGTACTGAGTTTGAAGACCAAAAGATTCAAAATATATTGGTCAATAGAAAGATGCATGAAAAACATAGGTTGTTTAGGGCAGCATTCCATAAAAAAACAAATATTAAATGCGGGCCACAACTCTCCCTTTCACTCGAAACAAGAGTTTCGTGCCAAGCATAAAGATTGAATCAATAGGACTGTATTCTAATCTTAGAAATGCCATAACTCTCTTTCTGAATGTCTCGACTTTCTTTCTCAAAAAATCGGACCAGACAAGGGTGTGGAAATAGCAAGAATTAAATGCGGGCCTACCTTTGTGGGTCTCTAAACTGTCTGTGGGTATCGCGAGAATACAAATACTTTGTAACCTTGTCTTGGATTTACACCTACAACCAAATGCCTTTTTTGTGTAATGGAGTAATCATTCTCTTTGAGAAGTTAGTCTATGGCCTTGTAAGGATTAGAGCGTCTTCGGGGATTAGAAGAGCTCAAGGATTAGGCCTTTGTCGCGCAGCTTGTCCACAGAAGTCTCAGTTCAACATCTTAATGAACCAGGCCGTTAAGGATGTTGAGGGGACCCGGGAAGGTTATATTTGAAATGACGACAAATGTGAATTATTTTTGTGTGCGTGGTAACCCGGTGGAATGGCATTTTCTAGGAGTTCGATAAAACATTTGTTGAAATAAACCATCAACGATTTAAAACTTTGACAACAACTGTGTCACCATGAGGATCACTCACAATAAAAGTAAGGCGATCACCCTTTCTGAGACACTTGTTTTTGGCGAAGTCATATCATCCCTTGCCAATGAACATGTCAACACCATATTTTCTTTCAGAGCGGTGAAGTTCACGGTCATAACGTTGTCAATTATTTAAAACTTTGACAACAACTGTGTCACCATGAGAATTGCTCACAATAAAAGCAAGGCGATCACCCTTTTTGAGACGCTTGTTTTTGGCGAAGTCATATCATCCCTTGCCAATGTATATGTCAACACCATATTTTCTTTCAGAGCGGTGAAGTTCACAGTCATAACGTTGCCGATTATCCACATCAAATAATTTAATACCTTTATCTGCAAATCGACAACATTCCTTAATAACCATGTGGGGGATTTGCTAAAGGAAAAAGAAAAGTGGAATTAATATTCAGAATGTATGTAAAAGTGTATTAATGTTGCTAATAAAAGAAAAGTTTGGGAGTTACAAGCACGTTATTTCTTGCCGTTTTTTCAAACCTGATCTTTCGTTTCCAAACAAACCACTTAGGACTCCCAGGAATAATCTAAGCACAAGAATCCGCATCGGAACTATTGAGAAACATTTAAGTTAAAATGAGATAACGGAGTAAGAAGTCATACACTGCAAAGTAAAAGTATGAAAAAGAAAAACAAAATTTAAGTATTGTATTACAAAAATTTCGAATAAATGATATAAAGTACCGTTCACTATCAGATGAAACTGTTATGCAGGAGGATCGAGCAGGTGAGTCGAGTGTGGGTTGCCTTTTGGATCTTTATCAACATCAAATATTTCCGGTGGCATAGAAACAAGATTGTATTGTTCAAGCAGAATAGATCTAATGTAAAGCAACAGAACAATAATAAGATGTATGCAAATAGGAGTTAACATAAAAAGATGTAAAGGAATGCATATATGCACGAGTAAACCCAGAAATACCTTCCGATGGTTATTGGTTTATTAGAAGATTCTCCGTTCTGACGTAATAATTGAAATTCTTCCAAGGACATGATTTTCTTCCTTTGTTTCTTCAGCTCCTGTGTCTCTTGGTACTCGAGATAATCAAGTTGCAGCATAATTTCTTTCCGTTTTGCCTCCCTTGCGGTTCGATCGTTAGAGAGACTGGAAGAATGTTAACACACAGATTCATGCGGTTCAATCGTTTGAGAGACTGAAGAATGTTAAAGCACATATATGTTGAAGATGGTTATGAAGTGTAAACCCTAAAGCATCAAATAAGTAAATACTGGGAAAAAAGTATAGAATGCAAAATGCTAATGTGTTCTAAGGCATACAAAACAAAATGGAAGCTAAAATTGGGAAGATATTGTTAGAAGATTTGCATGGATGAAGATTATTAAGCATTTGAAAACAACAGTTTAAAAAAGGAAAATAAGAATCGGTTTGTGCATGTCAAAGAAACATAAAAATAGGAACTAAACTTCTATTACCCCAGGCAGCAGAAATCGTAAAAGAGGTAAGACATTAACAATAGTTTAAAAAAAGAGAAGAGTTATCTGATGAGAGATGACATTTTGACTTTGTTGGACATTGTTGGATCACTGTAAATTTTTTTGGAGTCAGTTCAGATGGTAAAGATTGTAGTGAAAATAAGTTAAGGGAAAAGTGAAATAGTATGTAATTGCAGTCTGTTGGATTGGGCCGAGTGAAAAAATAAATAGACCCAGTTTTAAGTTTGTATAAAAAATCAACATAAGTTATATATTGTAACTATAGAGTTAAATACATATATAAAAAAATAGAATTAAATACATACATATATAAAATAAAAAACGTATCAACAAAAATATTAAAACTTAATATATAAAACATAAGTTATTATTGAAAACTGTACCGTTTTGTCCATGGGAAAAATAAAAATTAATAATAATTAAATAGTGAAATTCAAGAATAGATAATGTATATAAGTTGATGTATTAGCTTTTCATATTCAGCAGATATTTTCAGTTTGAGAAGATTTGAAGAATGGCGCAAGAAAGAGGAAACGATACTCATCATGGGTAAGTTTTATGGATTGTATGTATAAATACTATAAATAGTTTGATTATAATGTTATTGAAACAAAATGATAAGCTGTTCTGATGTTGTAAAAATAGGCTCACAGAGAAGGTCGACGTTGATGAAATGCTGAAACGTATGGTTAAGAATTGGAATGATACAAATTGCGTTAATAATTGAAAGTCTAACGATGTGATATTGAAGTAAGTGTGGAGATGTCGGTCAAAGAAGAAACTAAAGGTGAAAAGCTGAAGAAGTTGAGAGCCATGTACATTAATCATCTATAATATAAATGCATGGTAAATATTGTTTGAATAAGCTACGAAATAAAGTGATTCTGGTGCTAAACGGTTGTAGGAATTTTTGATAGACGTATGTGTTGTAAATATTTGTAAGTTAATAATGTTTTTATTATCATGATCGATTTGTATAAATGTTGAGGCCCGGTTGAAAGAGAAACAGGAAATCGATGATAAGATCCGTGAGCTGGGCACAGAACCATATGGTGAAATGTTTCGAAGGAAGCAAGGTCAATCATCATAGAAAATATCATTTTCGGAAGATCCAGTCGAAGTGATTAGAGTCAGCAACACCGACGATGCCAATCGTGACGAAAGAGGTGACCCAAAAAGTGTCATGTAAATAAAGTGTGGCATATAAAATAAATGAGAAATTACGAATTTGAAAGTATGTTTGAACTTTATATAAATTATAATTAACTTAAGTTGTGTCAAATGTGTGAAGAAATTATGATATATATTTGAAAATATAGTAAGTTGTTGATAGGTATAATTAAGTTGTGAATTGGTTGGGACAATAGCAGGAACCAAAATCCAAAAATGTATGATTAAAATTTGTACGTTATATTGTTAGATTGATGGAATAAGACTATGTGTTGTTAGCTTTTAAATGTAATGGCGAATAGTAGGTTGAGTGTTGTTGGAGATGCTGGTTTCAATAGGACAGATGCAGAACCTGTCTCGCAAGTTGGTGTTGTGATTGGTCATCCAAATCATATGGAAGTTGATGAAGACGGAGATGATTCAGAGGAAGATGATGCAGAGGACG